TTCATCAAGACTTCAAGCAGTTTTGGGAAAGTCGAAAAGTTGGGCAGTATAGCCCAAATTATCTTACAGCACTAAAAAAAGCAACTGTTGCTTATAATTTTAAACATTTTTGATGTAATAAATTTAATTTTTTGCAACTCCTTTAATCTTTTAATTTATTGACACATTTCTAAAACCTAACATACCTCCTAACAAAACCAAAAATACTAAATTGACTCTAAAAATATGTTTTAGATTTAAAATAGGTTATACATTTTTTCGGAAATGAAAAGAAATGGTTTATTTTAAGGATTCATTCATGTGTATAAGACAATTTAACAGTGAATACGACCTCGGATAGTATTGTTGAAGAAAAACAAACCTTCTTAATTTTAAAAGACGGTCATTTTGACACAAAAAACGTCAAAATCAGACTTCATGTGATTTTTTTTATCACGCAACCTCTCAAAAATCTAAAATACCTAATTTCTCAAAAAGCCCCCAATGGATGATTTTGTTTAATACGTTTTTGGAATCGGAAAACGGTCCCTGTTCATTATCAAAAAAAAATTGTTTGGGATGTCTACCATGGTCTTGAAGTATGCTCCACTGCAGTGTGTGCATATAACATCTATAAACCTTTAAACATGTTTTTCTTAGTTTTCTAGAAAAATGAAAAAGATTTTTAAAAAAATTGTCTAACCAAAAGGATTCGAATCCAAGCAAAGTACTTAAACCGCTTTGGCATGCTATATCATCTTTTAACTTGAATCATCTTTTTTTTTTAACTTTTTAAAAAATATTTTTTGAATCATCTTTTTGTGTCTTAATCATCATACATACGCAACAAATTTTTTTTCCGGTGATGTTTTGTTTTTGTTGATGTTTTTGAATTTCATGTAATAATCTCTTATCGTTATCGTTATCGTTTAAAAGATTCATCGTTAAAAAGACGTTTGTGACAATGTAAAATTTGAACACTCTCAATTTGAGGGGGTTACAAAATTTGTTTATTTCTTTTTTTTTTTTTTTTGTTATTTAGGTGCCCCAAGAAGACCTAACGATCTTGTCACAGAGCACTCCTTCCTTACCATGACACGAAAATATGTTCTGAGCTCGTTTCGAACCTGGATCTCCTGTTTCTAAAGCAAGCGCCCTAACCACTACGCTAAGGCCGCACAATTTATTAAGCCATACTTTTTGAATGCTATGTGTATAATTTTAGTTAAGAATAATAAAAAAAATATTTGATCAACTTGATGCTTTCACGTTTGGGGCAGTTGTCGTCAAAATTTTAGGACTTTTTTGTTTGCAGACTCTAATCATGGCAACTTTTTGCAAAGCATCACTATTTTGCATAAGTATAAACATATAGATGTTTGGAATTTCTTTTATGTCTGGAAATTAGCTACCTCAAACATCAATAAATTTTGTATCCGCGCCTGGTTGTTTGTACATGAATACAATTTTGTTAACCAACTTGATAACAAAGTTCATACACAAAATATTGCGAATCTTTTGGGGTGTGCGCCCAATGCAAACTTTGACAGCAATTTCATACACATGAAAATTTATTTACATTTTATGTATATGTTTATTATTAATTAATAAAATAATATAATAATTACTTACTATACTCTAAAGGTAAATTAATTTATATTGTAATTAAAGAGTAAATATATTTTGTTTTATAGATTTCATTTTAATAGTTTACAAAGTGAAAAAAGCAAATAAAGAAATCTATGAGGAGAACTTGGAGAGAAGAAAATACCACATTGTATACTTTATGACAAAATTAAAAGTTGAAATTTTTAAATAAAGTTATGTCTCGAAATAGAACGTTTTCAAAATACTTTTAATGATGAGTTTAAAATCAAACTTGTTAAACATGTTAAGGATTTGGATTATCAATTTTTCGGAATTTCTCGGCATGAATTTTTGAGGTTAGTTTTTGACTTAGCTGAAGAGTTAAATATAGAACATTGCTTCAACAAGAAAAGCAAGACAGCAGGAAAAGATTTCTTTATTGAATTTAAAAACCGACACTCAAAATTAATTGTGAGCGTCAATTTTTTAGCTCTCATAAAGTTTTATGAGAGCTGTTGGTTTCAATAAACCTTAAGTAAATTGTTTTTTTAATATGTTAATAGATTTTACCGGATCAAGGGAGAGAGGGGCTAGGGGGACTAGGGAAGACTATAGCCCCGCCGGGCCCCGCAAATTTAGGGACCCCCAAAAAATTTGAAGAACATTTTTTTTTTTTTTTTTTAAGGCTCTGGCCCATAAAAAGGCCTCCAAAAACAAAAATAGCCCCGGGCCCCAAGAAGTCTTAGTTCACCACTGTGTGCATTATATACTTCCACTTTTTGTACCTCTACTCTTTGTACCTCCATTCTTTGCATATCCTCGTAAAAAATGGATATAAATAGATGTCTTATGGTTTGGGCTCCAGCAGATAGTCAATAACATTTGATGCATGTTATTGACATGGAGCATTTGTCAATAACATGCATCTCGAAGCAACACTATTTTTTTGATTTTGGATAAGCATTACATTTAAAACATTAGTAATTGCATTACATAAAAAAATTGTTTGATATTGAATATGCTAGAAATCATCACATTCATATGCTAAGTATCCCTCCACACCTCACACAAAAATTACAAACGCTAAACAGATCTTTCATGAAACTCTTTAAGGCAGGATTTAGTAAGGCACCAGCAAAATGGATGATGCTTTACTAAATCCTAAAGTCTGTTGAATTCTTGAGTCAAAATGCTATATTATGACATTGCTGCTCTTGTATCCAGTGCATTTTCAAAAATTGCATGCTATGAAATAGTTCGAAGTGGATTTAAATGTACCAGTATGTTCCCATTAGATTAAAATATATTTTCTGACCTTGATTATTTACCATTTATGATAACAGATATTCCTATGGTAATTAGCCTATCAACAACAACGACAAAGCAAGTAAATGATATAATAGCGATAAATGTTGCATCAGAAATAAATGATCCATCAATAATACAGGGTTATTAATAATTTTATAGCGGTTTATTAATAATTATATATCCGGATATATAATTATTAATAAACCGCTATAAAATTATTAATAACCCTGTATTATTTTCTTAAGCAAATAATGATTTCCTTATTAACAACCGATTGACGTCTTTTCGACCTCTTTTTTGAAGACGTCTATTTAAAAGACGTCTTTCCACGTCTTTATTTTGGCTGATTGAAAAAGACATAACAAGTCATAAAAAAGACGCCTTTTATTCGTCTAAAGATGTCTTTTTTGCCACTGGGAAGATTATTCTTAGTTGATATTATAGCCTGCCATTTTCTAACAGTGGATATTCTCAAATCAGTAGCATTGGCAATTTGAGTTAAACTTTCCCCTCTGTCCATTCTTATTTTGTTTAAATAATGTAGATGAAATTGGTACATTTTTTTTTTCCTTTTTATATCTCTGACAGGTTCACTTTCATTAAAATAATTTTCCATGGAGCTAAAATAACCAAAAATATATTTAAAATAATAATGTTTTTCTGAAGGAAAAACGTGGTAATAATGGATGAATATATTTCTTTTTAAATAATTAAATTATATACAAACGCTATATAATTAATAATAAATCGCTATATAATTAACTATAAACTGATATAAAATTATTAATAAACTGATATATAATTTATGATAAACGGATATCCGTTTATCATAAATTATATATCAGCTATATATCATAAATTATATATATATATATATATATATATATATATATATATATATATATATATATATATATATATATATATATATATATATATACTGAAATAAATATACAATTGCAGCTGCTTAGCTAGAAAATGTTAATCGGAAGAAGCAAAAGTGGATGGCGTGGTGCCAGTAAGATGGTATCGATATGATCTAGTCTCAATTTAGGTACGTGCGTATCCAATGAGTTACGGCACCGATTATGTAAGCAAAATCTTTGACCATTTTATCAAAGCGTGCTTAGCGTTTGAGTTGTAAGAATGTATTTTGTTTTGTTATTTTTTAGGATTTTATATCAGCATAGACTTTTCTTGAAAAGCGAAAGAATTAAACTTCTTTTTTGGATAGTTTTTTTTTGAAGTTACTACCGCAATTGATTAATTTACTTTTCTTAAAAACTTTGTTGTTGATCACACGTCAAACTAATATTGAAAGAATGTTAAGAACATTTTTTAAACTATTGAGAAAAATTTTAAAACTTATTTTCTACGTACATGCCAAATTTTATCGATAAATTTTATCGATTATGTAGCAGACATCTAATTTTTTGTAGCAGAATATGTACCTAAGTTAAAATATTGTATATAAAGCAAAATATTGCGCTTCAAGCAACAAAGTTCCATAACAAAACTACCGTTAGCCGAAACTGATAATTTAAAGTTTTTTTAAGCAATCCTTGTAATCAAATTTTGTTTACTTAAATGAGCATAACTTTTTGTAGAATTGTTATTTTGTTATGAAATATTCACTATTGTAGTGCTGATTTTAGCCCTTTTTTCAATGATATATAATAATCAATAACACGTGCCTACTCAATTAAGTTAGTAGCAGGTAAGTGTTTTAAAAAAGTTTTACCGTTTATTTTTAGACTAATTTTTTAATGTATTGTGCTTGAAGAACGTTGTTTATTACATATTAAATTAAAATATTTATTTTCAGACGAAAAATAAAACCTGTAAACAATTTCTCTCTATATATACTTGTTCAAGTGCCAGTGAAACAAACGATAGAAAAAAAGAAGCATTCGGTAGGCTTGTAATTTTGTTTTTATATATTTTTAAATGATCTGAATAACTTTGTTGTTTTTATTTAGTTGAATGATGAAATTGTTTATACAAAAGATTGGCTCTTCAACTTTTATGTTTAATATTTTATTTCCTTGTTAACTGTTGTCTGTCATTAATAAAGCAATTATAAAAATACACATAATGACAACAGATTTATCTTTAGAAATGTTCGCAAGAATTTTGGTTTGGATACAATGGACAAAGTGGAAATCATACCGGAAAGGTACACTTTCTTATATCCCAGCCGGCACAACTCAGAAAATAGTTACGCTTGGTTTCTGTTGCGTTTTTAAAACCTTCTAAAACAAAAAGAATAACACGTATCATAAATAGTTTTTATTCCGTGAAATTAACTGTTACTATTTACCATAAATACCAGTTAAAGTATTAATGGTTTCATCGTTATGGAAACGTAGTATTATATTGAAATAACTTTCCGTAACGAATGTGAAACCACTGATAAAAACATGCGACATTTAAATTTGACTTTAAAACCTCAAAAAATACGTGTTAAACTCTAGTAAAACTGCCCGTAATATACACGTGCTTTTGGTTTACGCCTGTATCGTGAAAAACACGTGCCTATATAGGTTTTAGTTTCGAAAAAGAAACTAGATGTGCCGGTAGGGATCTAAACATCATTGTAGCTTTCTAGTCTTCATTTTTGTTTATATCACCAGTTTTTATGATTTTATGTTGTTAAGTAAAGCATCCTTATGTTTCAGGCTAAAATAGAGCTTTGAATAACACTTTTTTCTAGTTTAAATGAACAACAACTCTCAAGGTGTATTAGCTGAATTATCTTTTTGTTTTGATAGTCTTTAGTTTAGATAGTCTTTAATTTTTATGAGTCTACATCACTTAATTTCAGCAAAATTCGATTAAAAAATCATGTTATAGAAGACAGAAAAATATCAATATCTGTTTTCAATAACTTGGCTTTCATAGCAAATCTGAGAGGTGCAAATGTTTAGCTTGATTTAAGTATCACATAATAAAATACATCGTTGTACAGTCATTTTGATGGTTGTAAATTTATTTAGCTTACTCATTTTTATATATTTTTAGACTGTTTACCGCTTGACTGCTGTCCCAATCTAACTAAGTCGGTTAAAAAAGAAGGGACTGCGCTGGAAACATGAGTGGATTAAAAGGATCAGCCCTTTTTGAATTAATAGTCGGTAAGTATAATGTGCTCGACTCAGCTAATCAAGTTTCGTTTGCTTATTTGTATAACATTTAAGCATTAGACTGTTTTTTATGTTCACTCGTTTTTTAGAAGTGGTAACCAGCTAGAAGTCGTAACCTGCTCGTATGAAATTGTTAATTTTATTCAACAACGCCAAGAAACAGAGCTCGCTCAAGAAACAGAAAAGAAAAAGAAAGATGAAAAAATATTCTGTTGAACAATACTATTGTTTTATTTATAAATTATTCTCCTATGTTTAAACAGATAAAAGATGTAGAAAATGGTTCCTCTTTTATATTGACATCTAAAAGAGGTTTTTTTCTCGGCATCGGAAAAAGCTTTTTTTCATACTTTGAATGAAGAGCTATTATCAATTTCATTTGAAAAAAATAGCTTTTCATATAAGAAAAGTAGAAATACTATATGTATAGCATACTATGTATATTATTAATATACTATAAGTATGGGAAAAAAGTCGTTCCGACCCCGAGAAAAAACACTTTTTTAGATTAGCATATTCGACTAAAAAAAGGCGTCTTAAAGACGCATTTTTTATGTCTTTTCAAGATAAGATTAAGATAAAAAAAGACGTCTTTTCGATGTCGAAAAAAGATGTCTTTTAGATTTGCATATTCGACTAAAAAAAGGCGTCTTAAAGACGCTTTTTTTATGTCTTTTCATGTCAAGATTAAGATAAAAAAAAGACGTCTTTTCGATGTCGAAAAAAGATGTCTTTTAGATTTGCATATTCGACTAAAAAAAGACGTATTAAAGACATCGTAAATAAGACTTTTAAAAACGTCTTTTCGATGTCTTTTTTACCACTGGGTTAGTGGTTGTTTTAACCTACTACAGAAAAGTGGCCCCAAGCAAAGCTCCAGTTCATGAGCTATGATATTGTTATTTAAATGTATTCAAGAATGTATTTATTTTACAGGATGTATTTTTTATTTTAACTAAGAAAGGTATTTTATGAAATATATATAATTGTAAACATATAAATATTAATAACTGATATATAATCATTAATAAATTGCTATATAATTATTAATAATCCTGTAAATAAACAATCAGCAGTGAATGAGACTTCATTTGATAACAATATTCAATAGCATCACTCAAAAACGATTAATAAAATTCTACCAATATAAATTCCCCTGTTATTGCTTTAACACCTTATATCTCAGCAACCGTTTCGAAAGTTTTTTTTTTTTTCTTTCGAAAGTAACTTCCAATTCAGCTACCAAATCTGCAACAACTGATGTTTTAAATACTTTATTCTCTATTCCCACAATTTTTCTAAAAATAATTAATTTTAGATAAAAGGAAAGCTCAAAGAAATGAAATTCTTACTTCATCTACTTACGCTAAGCAACTCATTGTTAATGGTTTTTATTAAAGTTAAACAACTATTTTATATTTCATTATTTTAATGTAAGACTTATTTTAATATATATATAAACTTGCAATCTTTTGTTTTGCTTACAATTAAATTTAAAGTTGCCTAATTTATGGATGATCCAAAAGAACTTAAAACAATTCGAATATTATAAGTTAAGTTTTTTAAAAATACTTTCCAGCAAAAATAGTTTCAAGTATTTTAATGGCATTAATTAAAGTTTTAAAGATGTTAATCGACGCGGCTGAAGTTTTTAATGCATAATTATTTTATTTTTTTTGTATTAAATTTTTGTTTATTATCGGTTATAAGTATTAGGTTGATGTATAATTATCGCACATTTTTAAGCGCCGCTATTATATAAAGCCCCCCTTACGAATTTTTTCGGTCGGCAAATTGGAGTCGGAAAAATTGGATCTATTGTTGGCAGTAGGCAAATATCGGAAAACGCTCAGTCAAGACGCGATATCAATGTGATATCAGAATGATATCAAAACCTTCTCAAGCTATGATATCATATAATGACATCACTATGATATCATAGTGATATCATAAGTTTGAGAAATAAACTTAATTTTATGTAATAGTTACAAAGCACAGTAAAAGTTTAGTTTTTCTCTTTTTATATTAAAATGCTAAGTTTTGATTTATGAACTCATATTATGGTATCATTATGATATCAAGAAATTGTCATGCTGTGATGTGAAATTCAAGTTGCTTACATTCATACTACTTTGCCGGAAAACGTCTTACAAAAAAATAAATTATTTTCAAGATAGCTGAAAGATATGCGAAAAAGTATTAAGATATAGTAAGACCAAGTAAATAAAAATTAAAACTTGTTTTATCGTTAGCTGCAATTTAAAAAAAATTAAAAAATAAATTGTATTTAAAGTTATAAAATTGACGAGTAAATATTTAATGTTTTTGATGACTTATTTTTAATACGAATATGTTGCAGTATATATTGATAATATGCCACATCACCTATTTTTATTAAAAAATACTCTTACTGTTCTAAAGTTATTTTAGTATTTTTTTTTTTTAGCTATTTTAATACTTGCTTAAAATTTTAAGTTTGAAGTTTATGTTTGAAAATTAAATATAGAAGGAAAGTACAAATGAATTAGCTATGCTTATAAAAAGATTTTAAATTAGCATAGTTTAGGTACGTGTGTAAAAATTTTAAACCATTTATTCATTTAAGTATTATATATGGTTCAAAATAGCTTTGAATTTATATTAAAATGGTGAAAATTTTATGAAAAACGAATAATTACAAAAAAAGTTATGCTTATTTAAGTAACATTATTTTTATGAAGGATTGCTTTGAATTTTGAATTGATTGATTAAAGATATATATATATATATATATATATATATATATATATATATATATATATATATATATATATATAAATATATATATATATATATATATATATATATATATATATATATATATTTTTTTTTTTTTTTTTTTTTTTTTTTTTCCGCCCTCTATTTATGCTTATTTTTGTCTTTTTCAATGAAAGATATATAGAGATATAAAGATATATTTTGCCAACTAAATAAACAAAAAATTCATTCATGAAAGGGGTCTCACCTCCCTCCTTCATGGCCGTCGACACCATAGGGGGCTATGCTCCCCCTCCCTAAAATAATTGTTTCGAGTACCTTTTTTTAGATATATAGGTTTTTTTTTGGAAATTAGGGAGTTGGCCCCCCTTCCCACTTTTAAGGCCGTGTCAATTACACCATATAGTTTAACTAAAAACCTACTAAAAAAATATCTAACTAAACAAATAATTGGGGTGGGTGGGGGGATGTCCACCACTGCTCCCCTTCTTTTTCCCTTCCATAGGCCCATATATCTAACTATATATAAATTCCAACAAACCGCAAAAACTAAAACTTTTTTAAAACACACTTCTTTAACAAAAAAATTTCTTTTTTGCTTAGTAATGTTTTAAACAGAATTGTGGATTTGAAAAAAGCCTAGTTTTTGAAGCAAACAAAACTGTGACATCCATAGATAAAAAGAGTCAATTCTTTAGTACGCGAAGGAAACCACATCTAATGATATCTAAAATAAAGTATATCTCAAAAATATCATCGCAATACCTATTTAATAAGAATGCCCTATGTCCCGGGTAATAAATAATATATATAACTGTTATTACTGCATTAATAAACACAATAAACCTCTAAATAAATATGATCTAACCGGTTTAATCTTGATATGAAAAAGATCAACATCCATTGAAGCGTTTATGTTTGTTTGTGTTCTGTTTACACTCTGATGCAGCGTGAGCTCAGTAACTAACTACTTACTCAAACTACAAAACCTACACTCACCTTAGACTCCTGTATTTTGTCAGATGCAGTGTTTTTCCTAATGCACCTCCAAAATGTCATGCCTGGTTTTCTCAAAGTACTGTTGCGGGAAGTAACTCCTTTTAACTACTCCAGGTCAGATCAAGATCAATCTTGCTACTGGTATCACGTAACCCAGTACCACCTGCCACAAACCCTGCTGCCTTGCAGAGTGTGCTCTTCTTAGACAAAGGCTAGGAGAAATAAACTCCGACTAAAAATTCCCCTGCCTTGGGGCTCTTCGTTGAGTAAAGGCTAGAGATGGTGTCTTGATAAAAACACTCCGACTAAAAATTCTTGGGCATCTTGGGCAGATGTTAACTGCATGCAGTTACTGTATTGTAGAAGGCCTCCTAGGCAAAGACTTTAGGGGTAAGCAGAAAAATTCTGCTAACCAGTCTCGAACACCTTCTTCATCTATTAGGCTGGCGTAGATGTAACCTGTGTTAAATTGTTTCCTGCCTAGGATGATGAACGCTGGATCTCCTTGACTCTACTCATAGAATTTTGTTTATGCCTTCTTGATAATGGCTACGCAACTCTTCCTGTTATCTCCATATGAAGGTACAGCTCTAAAACTCAGTTTAATGGTTCTGAGGCCGGCTGGTAGTAAGGTTTCCCGAATTCTGTGGTAGCTCTCAGAGAGGCTGATTCCATCAACAGCTGCAAAATATCAGAGTATTAACAGTGCCATGTAGCGCATGGGTGGTGTCCCTGTTAATGCTTTTGGTGTGCATTGTCAAGGCCACATAAGGAGCCCTTGTCACGGCACAACTGCATAGCTCATCGATTAGGAGACTGTGCTCTATCTATGAATGAGTCAAGTTCTCATTAAACCTAAATCATGACCAAAGTAACCAAAAATTTAAAACCTAAAAAACAATCCCCACCACCTAAATGTTTTAATATATCTTTTACAAATATTTGCGGTCTACGAAGCAACTTTCCGTCAGTTGAGTCTTACCTCTTACAAAATTCACCAGACTTGCTTGCACTCAGTGAAACAAATTTAAATTCTGAAATTCCTTCTTTAGATGTCAATGTTGATGGGTACTATCCTTTGATTCGTAAAGACTCCAATAGTCACATGCTAGGTTTAGGGGTATACATACGCATTAATTCCCCTATTTGTCGGGAAATCAGGTTCGAATCTTTTGACCATTCTTTTATGTGCTTTCGCCTAGCACCTCTTCACTCTATCACCTTTCTCTTTGTTTTTTATCGTTCTCCTTCTTCCCATGATTGCACTCTTTTAGATGTTATCTCTGATCAAATTGACCATGCCCTCACTCTTTACCCCTTTGCCAATATTGTTGTTGTTGGTGATTTTAATGCCCGTCACACTGAATGGCTTGGCTCTAACACCACTGATCCTGCTGTCACTAAAGCCTTTAACCTCTGCGTTTCTCAA